TTTTTTTTTTTTTGCAGAGTTCACTTTACTTGTTAAAAGTATACTATACTGCAGAGCATTATAATCATAGATATGTTATCTAATGACAGTCAAAGAACTTACTGTGTTGCTCTCTTTCTTTGAAGAAACACATATTTTGTACAACAAAGATTAGGCATGGGTGAGTATAGGATTCTTAAAATTATAGACTAATGCCATATGATGACTATATGAACTTTGAGTAGAAATAAGGTTTTGCTGTTCAGTGGTATAAAAACATAAAAAAAAGCAAAAAATGAATTGGATATTATCCCTTTTATTTGAAAAAGAAAGCAGTAGTTATTCCTTGTTGTTGCTGAAGTAATGAAACATTGATAATTATGCATTATCTGTTAGATTTATTGTTATTTTTATTGTAATATAAACAGAGACAAGAGAGAACACAGTACATCACATTTGTGAATGTGTGAAGGGACTTTAACTGAAATAAAATGCCTAATATAAAAAGCCAATACCACAAAACTGAACTTATCTCAACACCATCAATTATTAGTGAAACTATATTGCTCATCCCTAGATGCAAATTAAATCAGGAGGCCTGATCTTGATTTTGAATAGTGATAACTGATGGCAACCAAACCTTTTATCTAATCAGTAAGTATTTGGATATCTTTAGGTTTTGATTGAACAAAAGAAATGACAGGAGTTGAACAAACTGTTTAGATTTTCTTTTAGACGTGGTATTCTGTGGTGCCATCAGCAATCAGTCCCTCACTTGCAGTAGACAGATGACTTCAGTTTGTTGACTAGGATAGAAGTCGTCAAGGGAAACTTGAACTAAGTTTCATTAGGAATCTGTGGTGTCTTAAAACAACTCTTAACAATTCAATTCAAAAGAGACAGAACTGTAGCAGTGTACAAGGCAGTAGAAATACAGTTTGCTATGTTTGTTCCAAACATGGCCAAGTTTTTTTTTTTTGTAATTTTTTTTTATTTAAAGACATTGTACTAAGCTGTCTGGCTACAAGCCAACAGCTCAAGCAATTACTCCATGACTTATGGTTCATAGGAACAGAGGCTTCTCTGACTGGCCTCACTGTGGATTCATAGCACTTTCGGGATGCGCTTGTGATCCCGTGATTAGCCGGAACGGCTCTACTTGTGGGCGTCGGGAACTGCTGGGAACTAATGGGTTAAATGACATATGGTTATGAAGCTTGGGAAGGAAGCTGTGAATAAAGTGGGGGTGACCTCTGAACAGTCTGACCCGAGTGACATTGATTAAAATTAGAATGTGAAGTGTGTACGGTGGCATGGATCAGGATGACAGGCAGATCTAATGCATGGCTGCAGGGGAACTCGTACTGCTGCCATCAACTGAAAGAGGGGACGTGGTGGCATTATTACGATGCTAAACATTTCATCTTATCAGAGACCTTTTGTTCAGATTAAATCTTGCATTTATCAAATAAAAAAAAAAGAAGAGATGCACTGTTTAACCTGTTATTAGGAAACTCTTTATTTGTGGCTCTTTACATGAAAGATCCAGGAAGGCTCGACTCCCTGCTCATATTTTTTGCTTGCTTTGGCCGATCGTTCCTAGTTAGTGCATTGTGTTTAACCGCATCCTGTTAACAGCCAGACATAAATGGGTCAAAATTAATGGTCAACTGTGTCTCAAGTGTCCTCGGCCTGGCGGGGCGCTTTGCGTGCTGCATTGACTTGGGTGGACTTGCGCGCATGAGGGGAAGCTAGAGGCGGATGGGGGTAGGGTGAATGGCATGCGTTGGGTTTTAGAAGAGAAGGAGGAGGGGTGTCGAGGAGACATGCTGTTCATTGGCTTCATGTTGCAAAGAAAAAAAAATGCTTATGGCTTTGCTGCATGACTGGGCATTTGTGACAGCTAAAGTCCTGCCTGTCACATCTGCTGGGAGCAGTGTGCTGTCAGCCACAAGACTGGTAATCAATCACTTATGGGGTGTGGCTAAAGAAGCAGTTTCAATGAAACAAATTCAGGCTTTGGTTGAAGTTTTTCCATAAATAAATGGAAGATTAAAAAAAAAAAGCCATAACTCAATCTAGGACATTTTATTGACAGAAGTTGTAAACTGCCCATTTTCAAACTGACAAACTGAGATACGGCTCCAGGGAAATGCAGAGGGAAGTAACTACCCGACAAGGTTTTAAAGGATGTTACCTGTAGGTTAATGACTTTCTATGTTGAACTATCCTTTTAGTAGAAATGGGTTTTTGGGTCATTTTATGTAACAGGTTTCTAACGGAGGTAGATTTTACGCCATTGGCTTGTTTGCTGAGAAGAAGCAGTGGACAGATTCTTACACGAGAAGCTAGAACCTGCGTAAAAGAGTTGTCACTTTTGTTCTATGTTATGTTGTTGCTATCATACTGGATCTCCTTATGACTGGCTGCAGGTCATCTTCTTTGACCTGGGAGGCGCCTTACAGCCCTAATGACTGGCCAGCCTGGCAGATTATTTAGGTTACATTTATTGGATGGAGCGACATAACAAACCAGGGACTGTCCTGAGTAGTTTAAAAAAAAAAAAAAAAAAAAGATTTTTTGTTGTTTTGGTCTTTACAGCATTTCTGAAATTACACTGAATTTGTTCAGGCTGTGTCTAGGAGAAGTAAAATAATCCTATTACATAACACGCTGCTCAAAATAGCAATGACAGCAGATAAATGCAATCCTGTCAGCAAACACAGAAAACTGTTAAAGGTTAAATATTACCTCAGTGTTACGGTTTGCACAGCTAGTGTAATGATTAATCTTTCGTCTAATATGCAGTACATTGAAAAAAATATGCATATATCATTACGCTGAGTCAGATTTCCGACACAAAAGTTTTTGAACAATATCTGCATTTTATGTGGTAGGCTACTAAAATGAAAATGTATAAAGTTAGAGGGAAATAAATGTTTTTTAAATGATTTTACAAATGGATGGAAAACTAATCCAGATAAAAGTGGAATGGTTTAAATTAAAGCACATAGATGTATTCGAATGACCTAGTCAAAGTCCAGATGTTGAATATTTCTATTCAAACATGAACTTTTCTTCCATGCTAAACTTAAGCTATATTAGATAAAAGGATGGTCAAAACAGAAATGTTAAAGCTATATTTTGTTTTCCTTTGACTCCTCAATAAAACGTTGCTTTGTGTACATCTGTCACATAAAATCACACACAAAAATAAAACAATAAAAAAAATAAATCACGCCGTCATTTGCAATGAAGCGTTACAAAGTTCGTGGAAAGTCAATAGTTTTGCAGGGGACTGCAAAGATATTCTAGCTTTTAAAAATGTTCCTAACAGTTTCACACTCATATTTCTTCTGTTTTTATCTTTGGCAGTACATAAAGATCCCAGCACCGACCACTGAATCTCCAGATGGATTCAGAGTCTTCTCATTTTACCTTTCCAGTGACAGCAAAGACAAGCCTCAGTCCAGCTTTGACTGCATTCACCAGTTTATCTCAGGGTGAGCAGCACACAGAACTTTTTCCACTGTCGACCACAAATGGAATTTAAAGTAAATGTGGTGTCAGGCTGCAACCGCGGGGCTTGACCAAACACTGGCCTCTCTCTTCAACCTCACAATAATGGACAAAACGCCTGCCGGGGCCAAATTCGGCTTTAATAATAACCTGAGGGCTGTCAAGCCACATCGGACCTCAAAGGTGTGACCATTGACGACAGAGAAGCAGCATTTCTGGCTTCACAGAGTCAATGGACTTCTTCAGAGATTACATCAGCACCAGAGTCTTTAGCCTCTAAAAATTAGAACCCCTTGCTTTAGAGGTCAGAAGAGGTCAATTTGCTTCATGTGGTTCATAGAACTTGTTGTGTTTTGCAAGAAGTTAGTGTGCACTCAAGCAGTCCAAGAATTCTGTCACTGGATTTAATTGTAAAACTAAAATACTACCAAATATATGAGCACATCATTCCTTTTGCTGCTTTAGACAAATGTAATGTTGGCTAAGCTGCAGGACTCAACTTGTTGTTTTTTTTTGTTGTTGTTTTTTGTTTTTATGTACAGGGAGGGCAGGGATCACTTGGAGAGTAAGGGGAGCATTCAAGACAAGATCACCGTTTGTGCCACAGACGACTCTTACCAGACCACACGCGAGCGCATGTCACAGGTGGAGAAGGACATCTGGAGCCGCACAGCGATTGAGATCAAGCCAGGACCAAGTAAGTTTTGGAGTTAAGAGTTTCAAAGTTCTCTTACATGTTCTAGCATTAAAGGGGTAGTTCAGAATGTTTATATTTTGAAGTGAGGCTATATTAAAAGGTACTAAGCAGGTAATATCTCACCAGTAGAAGATAATCGTCTTAAGGTCTTCATTTAGTACAAATTCTGAATCTCTCTAATGACTGACTTTTATGGTCTAAAGATGACTAAAAATCTCAAGACTATCGTAGTAAGTTCATGTGAATGTAATTTTATGAAGATTTATAATGTCATCATCCACTGATGATTATTTGTCATACTATTTAAAGATCTGGCTCCAGGTATTTAGAAGTATCCTTTTAATGCATATTTTGGTTAATACAGATAACTTGAAACATTTTACTGCTTCCAAGTCATTCCTTGCCACCAATTTCCCTTGTCAACAATATTCATTTTAAGCAACAGATATCTCATATTTGCTCTAAGAGGTTTATTTACAATTATTTATGCAAATAAATAATGTGCATGGAAAATCTGGCTAGATATTTGTCTGAAATCTAGCCAGTCCAATTTATTCTGGCATGTTACCAATTTCCAACTCAGATTTGTTGATAAAAACAAAATTTGCTAAAATAACAGAGGCCTCACAATAATAAAGGTAATTCCACTCTTGGAAAGTTAATTGTTTTTAACATTTAAAGGTGTTGGAAAAAAAATTGTGTCTAGCTGTTGCATTATGCAACGTGTAAATTTATTTCTAGTTGCTGAATTTACTTGATGAATGATGGGGCAAATTTCAAAAATTCCTACTGAGCATCATGCAGGAATATGGTTTCCCATTTTACTCAAACATGTCTTCTTCTGCACATCGGGAGATTCATTTAAATGGGTTATGGCTCCCAGTTTGAGCCACATGGCAGGGAAGAGTGCACAGTTGTTTTGTGGTCACGTTCTGTCTTTTTATGGTACAGTAATGCTACACTTCTCAGAAAAAAATGCCTATACACCAAGTCACAATTATATACTGCAGTAAAGAAGAGAAGAAAAAAAAAGTTGACCATTTAGATAATAGTGTGTGATTTTAATGCATGGAAATGAAGACCTGGCAACTACATTGAAGACTTTGTAAGCACCTGGTGCTAAAATAAGTAAAGAAAAAAAAAAAGTACATTGAAAGCTATCCCCAGTAATATTACCACATGGCTAACAGATGCTAAGCTTATTGTTTGGCTAGTTCTCAGAAACACTTCCACAGTACGGTAAAGTTTCAAAGCAGTACAAACAATTATGACACAAATATGTCCCTCGAGCAGTTCTAGTTTAAACTTCTGAAGGGATGTCTCTAGTTGCTGCTTGTTTGAAATGTTGCACTGCATGTTTTAGTCAGAGCTGAATAGCTCCATTACTTGGTCTAAGGTAAGTGTTAACCATACGGTCTTTTAGAAACCTTCAACTTCGAGCAGCGCCTTGCAAAGGTATTTATACATCCTGGAGTGTTTGAGCATTTCTTGCATTGTAACCAAAAACTATAATGTTGTTTATAGGGATTTTATGAACAGAACAGCTGTACTGAATTTAAATTAAGCAGTGGATGAATTTTTAAATTTAAATAGCTGACTTAGAAGGCAAGAAAATCTTTATAATGTAAAAAAAAATAAAATAAAATAAGTAAGTTTCAGGAACACAAATGCTTTTGCACGACCCTGTATATTTCCAATTGTTTGAGACAATAACACCACCAGGATATGTAAATAAAGTCAAGTATCAACCAAGCTCTCTCTGTTGACACACAGTTTTAGACTTTGACCTTTAATAACCTTCAAACCAATGTATGGCTTAGGATTGTAATGAGATTACTGTCGGCAGACATCCACAAGAAGTGACCTGGGTCCAGTTGAATTAGTTCTGTAACATGAAGAAAACCTTCTCTGAGCTAATTGCTTTAGTTTCCCCACCCTACCTGTTTACTTAGGAGAAGCCCATTCTACTATCTCATCATTACACTGGTGCAGCCTCTACACACACAAAAAGAAAAAGAACATGCATGAGCTCGGCATTGAGCTCTGTGCATTAATGCATGTAAACTACTTTTTCAGACTGCCATGTAAATTCAGTCTTATCTGTCACACCTCCATAAAGTTGATTCCATTAAAACAGAAGAGATAAAATGACAAAAACGTATTGTCTGCCTGTCATGTGTGGGCTTGACTTAGAAAATTAGGGCATGATTTGTATATCTACCCTCAGGACAGGATCGGGAATGATAAGAGCCTTGTTTTCTCAGGATACTTTCACTGCCTGAGTCCTGTTATCAGATGAGTTGAGAGCATGTTCCTCTTTAGTTGAGCGCAGTATTTAGCCGAATCAAACAACTTGAGATTATTGGAGTAATACCCACTACCTCTAATAAACTTGATCTCTTTAAAAACTCTTTATCTACTTTATTAATAGGTAAGTGTGTGAAGGTGCAAAGGAAACAGGGCCTGGTCTCCAGCTCCGACAGCAGTAATAAGCACTCCCCCAGCAACAAGAGGCCCCTGCTCCCCAGCCCGGTGGCACATCGGCCCTTAAGGGATCGCATCATTCATCTCCTGGCCCTAAAGCCCTACAGGAAGCCTGACATGCTACTATGGCTAGAGAGGGAGAGGGCCAGCCCAAAGGACAAGGCTGATCTGACCTCTGTACTAGAGGAGGTAGGAGACTGGTGGATTGATATATTGCAATTAGAAATTAAAAAAAAAAAAATGTATCTTAGACAATGAGCAAATTTAAATGCCTTTGGGGTCTGGTATAACACTGAAAAATTAAACATTATATATAAGAATTGTATAAATCCACCCATGCCTGGTCATCAATTGTGCAAATAAAAATAATCTGATACTATTAGGTCTATGTCAGGCATATTTCCTGTGTTCACATTGTTTGAGGGTCCCAATGCAATCATCAATTGGAGACTGTGCAGGCAGTGGTAACTGTAATTAGCGCTGTGCTTTAATTATCTTTGGATGAGAAGATAGTGTTTTTGACAGGAGAAGGGTTGGGATGGCACAGGCTGGGATTCAAGTCATCGCAGAGACTGTTGGTTGCTTTGGGTATGTTTGTGTTAGAGGGGTTGGTTAGTTAGTTAGTTAGTTAGTTAGTTAGTTAGTTAGTTAGTTAGTTAGTTAGTTAGTTAGTTAGTTAGTTAGTTAGTTAGTTAGTTAGTTAGTGATAAAAATAGTGCAACAGTGCTGTGTCAGAGGTTACAAGTACAGCTAGACTTGTTTCCTGTTAAACTACTTTCTGTCCTATAACGGGAATGTTGGTTTTCCAGGTTGGTAAGCTGAATCCTAAGGATAGCAGCTACTCTCTGAAGGATGAGCTTTACAAACTTGTCCAAAGAGACTGGCCTGGATATCTGGAAGAGGAAAAGCAACTTATCCACAGGCTTCTCATCAGGTGGGAATTCATTTAGGCCAAATATGAAAATTTTGCAAAAGACAAGACAATATTTAAATGTTTTTATTATTATTAATTATTATTATTATTATTATTATTATTTATGATTGTTACATACAGTGTAATTGTAAATATTTTCACTTTTTATACTTTCTTTGCACATAAATTGAAAACTGTTTAGCTTAGCATAAAAGTGTGAGACAGTGTTCAACAACAAATATGACTTTACTTTTAATGCACTAAGAAACTTGTTTAGCCTCTTGTGTAGATCAAGCAGACACATTCTAATACGGTCATCGCTTATTGAGTTATTGTGTGTAGCACTATTGGTGTCAGTCTGCTTTGATATTTTTCTTTTCTAATGCTGCTTCTAAATGACAACTCCTTTGCTCAGAAGAATCTTTTAATCGAGACATCAAAGCAATGGAAAATTTTTCATGCACTGTGCTGCCAAGTGGCAAGACTTGCGAGGCTAAGCAGTTAAGGAGTGATCTTTAAGTGCCTGCCAGAAAACATGGAAGCCATGTGCTCCAGTGCCATTTTGGAAAAAGCACAACTCCCACTAGAATCTTGCAGCACTCCTGCTGAGTGTAAAAGCTTTGCAGTTGTATCCATTCAAATATTTTGCCAAAAACAAAAAAGCTGTGGTTTGAATAAACTTGAAGCATCTTCTCTGTAGTCAGTTTATCTGATAGGCTACTTGTACAAAGCATTCTAAGAACTGTTGGTTATTGCTACTTAGTGGCTAGGAACTCCACTATTACTGTCACTATTAATGAGAAGGCAAGAATTCACTGCAGTAAGTGACTTTTGGTAATGGCATCTGTTCAAGGAAGGAGCTGAAGGAAGCAGATTACCGGGAAAAAAAAAACAAAAAGGCTTTGGCCATAAAGAGGTTAAATATGCAGCTATTGTTTCTCATACGAGTCTGTGTTTAGTCTCTGTGGCCAGCTCCTGTGTGTTATTTTACAAAAACACAGTTGCATAACTTCTGTAATTATTTCTTTTGTGGAAAGACTTCCACCTCTATCTTTTCCTAGCTGTAATTGCTCATCCCATTGCACACAAATTCTGTGTTCTTCGTGTTTTGCTTTATGGGCCATTTACCTTAAAGTTAGTCTAAGTAAAGGTACTGTGTTCTAAATGTCTTCACAGAAAACTTCAGCCACTGCACAACAACCAATCGAGGAGTCCCCAGTCCATCCATTCGTTGCACAAAACTCTTGGGGATTCTCCCTCACGGCTCAGTCCTGCCAAAAATCTCTCAGTGGTAAATATTCATGTTGCAAGATTTGTCTTGTTTTTATTTCCTAATTTTCTTATGACTAAAAATGAGCCATTGCCCTCTTAATCCAATGCACAAACAAAATGCATTAACAAAACTAACTCAAATAGCTCTTACTGGAATCATACAATGGGACATAAAATTACATGGTTAGTTATTTCCCAGAACCAAAAAGTGAATAGATAAGTGATGTTATGTTCTGTTTTATGGAAATGTCTGGATAGGCAACTAGTCTTTAGTCTTTATAGACAAAGAGAAGTATATATTTTAAATCTATAAAACTTTGCATCGATTGCAGGACCAAAGATAAAAAGTGACAGAGTTTTCATCTCCTCTCTGCTTTGCTTTAAATTTTTTGTGTCTCAACAATGATAAAGTTTTAAAAAGACAAACAAAAAAACTCCAGAAGTAATTCAAATGCTTTAAACCTGTTTTTATTTAGTCATATTCACTTATTTGCATATTATTTTTACAGAAATGTATGAATTCATGTCCTAAAACCTGCTTAATAAATGTGTTTCTAATTGGAATATCAAAACAATCTATAAAAATAATAATATTGGTCACTTAGGGAATGTGATTAAAAATTAAGCAACCAATATGCCTCAGATATTGATTGTCTTGGACATACAGACATCAAAGTCGATTGTGTAAAGTGAATTTACCTCTGCTTATTTGATATGAACTTTTCTCAGTTTTTTTCTGTATTCGGTATTTCTTCTAAGCTTACTGTTGCTATTTTTGAATGGTATGTTCATTCTCTAAGGTGAATTCAGCGCTATCTGAAGAATGACTAATTTATCCACAATACTGTAAAAACCCTCTTCGAAATTTTCTAGTAATATTTAATTTGTTTTCTTTCCCCTTCGTTCTAGAAACGGTCACTGGTTTTGGACGCTTCCAGCATCCAAACCCCCAAAAAACAAAAGCTGTCGGAACACTGTCTGCCCCTTCAGTCGCCCTCTCATGCAGACTGTGGCACCAATGGGGCTCGTAACTCCTCCAGTCACGGAAACTCTTGTGCGGCGACAAAAACAGAGTTTGACATAACCAATAATCATCTTCAGGGAAACCCAGTCGGTTTGTACTCGCCGCACAAGCTCAGCATGCCGTGTGCTATTTCCAAACTAGAGAAGACGGAACCGGCTCCCATTTTACCCAGTCCTAAGCCTCGACACAATGGCACCTCTATATGCACTAAACAGCAGCTCGCCAATGGCCAGCACAAAAAGAAAAGGTCCAAGAAACACAAAGACAAGGAGCGAGATCGCTTAAAGCCAGACTGGATTGAGACTAGTCCAGACATGAAGCAGAACCAAGAAAATGTTAAAGGTGAATGCCAAAGTTTTATCAGGTCATAATTTGTTCTGTTTTGCTGTTAAGATAAGGACAAGGTTGTGCAAGAAGGTCGTTTAAAGAAATAATAAACTTTCCAAGATTGAGTTATAAGATTTTTTTGTAGAATTAATAGAGGAGCATTTTATAGAATTTGATCTAAGACAGCAGTAAGAACAGTGACTCTGTTGTCTGTTGATGATTGACTGTGTAACAGCTGGGTGACCTATGGCCGAGCTTGTCAGCAGGCAGATTTACCTCCTGCTTTGCTCTGTTGACGTAACTGCTCACCTTGGCTTGGATCGGTTATCAGAGACACCATTAAATAATTTCTCTCGATATGACAGACTTGTTGCCAGATTATATACTGAAATTAATCTTTCTCCCGAATGTGTCTTTTAAACAGCTACAGACCACGAGCGAGACAAAACACCTGTTAACCGAGCCTCAACTGAAGAACTGCCCGACTATTTCATGTAAGGTTTTAAACATTTTTTTATATTAACCTTTTTTTAATGAGTAAAACGTAGCCAACTTTCTTTACACCAGTTGCCAATTCAACATTTCACAGCGTAGTTTTGAATTTCAGCCTACTGCTCGAAGGAAAAAACAAAGTTTCCCTTAACAGTACGGTTCTGCTTCAACCCATTCAGATAAACAGAGGAAGATTATATAAATAAGGTGTCACAAAGCTTCTCTGAGAATAACTCACAAAAACAAAAGATCTTATGTCCTACATTTATACATCTGCTCAACACACCATGCTCTGATCTAATTCTTGCAGAGCCATCTAGTGGACGGATTCAGTACATACTCAGTTTCCAGAGATTAAGACATGTTTCCTTTTGCTTTTCAGAAAATACAGCACTGTAACAACACTGGAGCAGCGGCAACTGTACCACGATGACTTCTGTGCTGAGTACGATGAATATAGAGTTCTTCATGACAGAATTGGGGCCATCACGGAGATGTTTATTCAGTTGGGCTCAAAGATCAACACTCTCACACCGGGTACACAGGAATACAAGGTACTTTTTGTACTGAGAGCCTGCTGAAACTGCTTCTTTTAGGAAAATACCAAAGAGAAAGCATAGCATGTACAGCGCAGTAACCACTCTCTTTATTATTTTTCCAGCTCATGGAGGACCAAATACTACAAAAATATCGAAAATATAAGAAAGTAAGATATTTTTCAAAGGTTTATTAGCTTAATCACTTCTTTTGCAATGTCCTGACTTTGATGAATGCCATGTTTGTCATACTTGCATAGGTAAATTTAACAAAAACAGAAAAAGTTTTACAATGATTCAGAACTTTTTTTGTGGATTTAATGGGAAACATCCATCAATAAAAGTTTAACACAGACTCTATTCCCTTTCTGTTTTTTTTTTTTTTTTTTTTTTAGAAGTTCCCTGGATACCGGGAAGAAAAGAAACGGTGCGAGTACCTCCACAAAAAGCTGTCGCATATCAAATGCCTGATCGTCGAATATGACCGGACACAGGGATTAGTTTCCTAGTGACTGCACACTACCCACACCGGGTTGCAACAAAAGTGGACCAAAAGACTCCAGGTGGACCCAAAGACTGCCCAGCCAGGTCCCAGAGATGCTGAGACACTTTATTTTCCTCCACAGTGTCAATGTAATGGAGGGCGTAAGGTGCTCTGTCAAAAGTGGGCCGAGACCGCCTACTCGTGATCAGATGTTACCTTTTAAAGCTCTGTTTTTTCAGCTCTATTTATGGCTGGAAGAGCTGGTTTCAGTTCTGCTGTAAAACACGACAAGTAAAAAGGAGAGGCCAACAGATGTGATCCTTCCTACCTAATTACATAATTTGTAATTATATTTTTAAACTGGTTGAAACTTTAAAGTGTCAATTTGTAAGTAACTAAGTGATGGTACAATCAAACTTAGGGGTATAAAATAAATTCCACTGAAGTGTTTATATTTAAATACAAAAATTGTTAGTGGATTTTAAGATAGAAAATATATTTAGGATTATGAATTATTAATTTAGTACAATAATAAGAAACACGCTGGCAGCAACTGCATCGTGCTAGTTATAAGTGCACTGTAAGGCTTTTTAAATTAGGTTAAAAATGGCAAAACAACCATTTGTAGATCTCAGCTTGATTAAAATTTGCCATTCATCCAAAAACCTGCAGAACTGAGACCTGACCTAATATTGATCACTAAAGTAGGATATATGGAGAGTCAAAGGTTGAAACGTGTGTCTATGAACTACAATCAAAATTAATTTTAAGCCTGCTAATGTTCTGTCTCATTTCTCAGAAATGCCAAATGATTTCCACAGATAAAGCAGTATTTTTCTCTGCTTTTCATGCATTTATGAACTTAATTTAATTCAAGTGATATTTTCAATGTCATTCCATTTCACGTAACTTATTCAGGGACTTGCATAATTCATGTCTTTGTATGTGTGGGTCACTTGGGTGGATACAAACATATGGTGTAGCTCTTGGTTCATGTCAAAAAGCAGATTAAAGCTATGTTGATGAAAATCATATTGGTTCCACAATAATAGTTCCACTGTATATTTGCTGGATCTCACATACTGTGCACTTTTAGAGTCAGTTTCACAAATGTAGCCTACAGTGCCATGAACTGCCTTTTAATATGAAATGACTATCAACATACTCATCTCTCAAGTCCTCTGACCATAGCTTTACTTCCATAGAAATAATGCTGTTCACACTGTAGATGGATGATCGTTTTATTGTGTAATTTTACTGCTGTTAAGGCCCTGACTTAAGTTTAATGGAAGGTTTGGCTAAAAATAATGCATTACTAGCTTCTATGAGCGTTACATTAAGGTGTTATTCAAACAAATGTGACTAAAGTGTGTAATTTAAGGACTCCTAAGAGATTGGTCCTGTGGGTTGTTTTATGCCCAAATTGCTTGGTTTAAGTTGGTTGTAAGGACTAGTGAGAACACAAAACGGATCCACATAAAGATTTTAGACCCTCTGTGCATCTGATCGGTCATAACCTGTGCTTTTAATTTCACCTGAATAAGCCCTGGTTCTGATGTAGAAACTGGAATATTTGTAGTTTTATCTAAGCATTTGCATCATAGTAGCAGTACTCACACCTATTGTCTTAAAAGTGACTTGTAATGGATGAATGAAGTTAACACTTGCCTTGACATGCACTGTATGTCAGACATTTCCAACTTTCCTAGTTGCCCATGTCCCGAAATGCTCCTGGTTTATCCTGCAAATATCAGTGTTCTCAGATCATTTCCATGAATGGCTTTTAGTCCAATTGTAATTTTGGTTACTGGTTATTTGTTGTGTTGAAGTTGTCTGTTTTATTTCTTTTTGTGCCATGTACTTATGTCTTTTTTTTTTTTCTCCATCATTTGTCTTCTTGTCTGTGCGATAATCACAAACTGTACAGGAGTTTCTACTACCATCCAGTTCTGTCAGAGATTCAAAAACACAGAATACCTGCAGGAATCTATGTAATTTGCTTCTGATGATTTCTTTGTGCAGCAGCTCTATTGCCAAAAGTTTAGTGGCCAAATGTTTTGTTTGTTTTTTTCTTTTTGCAGTCAAACAGACATTTTTAAATGCGGTACTCTGATACGCTTGAAGGATTTGAGTAAAAATAGTTATTCTGTTTGAGCACATATGAAATAAAAAAAAAAATAAAAAAAAGTATTGGCACTGACAACTGGAGGAAAAACAACTGTAATCCCATAAAGTGTAAACCAGCTTCCAATGCTAAAAACCATTAAAAAAAAACAGGTATATAAAAAATGTATAAGGACAACTTAAGTGCATATCCAAAATTTATTGGGATTTTGCAGTGTTCTACTTAAAGGTTGAGATTTGAACATGGTTAGAGCAACAATGAGACTCTTCAAACCATAGTTTGCTGAAAGCAATACATTTTAAAACAATTTTCTTTCCTCTAACATAGTAAAAGTAAAATTACACGGGGGGGGGGGGGAAACTGTAAACCTGTGACAGTATCACCAGGACATGTGTACCATTTGTGGAAAAAAAAAATCCCATGTATCTTTTTCTTATTTACCTGTTGTAGGAGCCAACTACTGAAGGTGCCTTTTCACTCAGAGAGCAGGCAAATTCATCATACAGTTATTGTCCTATGGGGGAAAGAAAAACTGCCAGCAGTAATTACAAATCTTTAGCTTGACACTGTTGCCACTTTTTAAAAGTGCTTTCTTCTATTTTTACATAATCTCAAAAGATGCCTCTTTAAATGCACAAACAGGCATATTTAATAAATTAGATCACAGTTTTCCAGTAATACAGACTTGGTCTTATGGATTGAAGACCTATTTGGATATCAACTCAAAGCCAGGTCTGCTTAAATGTGCTCTGAAGCAACAGTCTAAGTTTCAGTTTAATTTAATCTTCATCTGCTTCCACATTTTTCCATTAAGGTGTGTTTTAATAGATTGCTGGTACTGGAAACAATAACACACCATTGGAAATGTGAAACAAAACCTTTTGTCAGATATATATTATTGCATTTTGTTTGCTTGGAACAAATTTATTTATTGCTTTTAATGTCTGTACATTTTTTGAGGGACTATTTTTGTGCATCGCTCATTCGTTCTTTGCACAGCCAAACTAAACCATTGTGAAAGAGACAATGGGATATACTGTATTTTTGCAATATCTGGATGAATATAACATCTCTTGAGAATGATCTTTTACAAAAACAAATGTATTGTTGTCTGAGTGAAACTGAAAATAAAAAGCTCTTCAATTGTACAAGTTGTCATTTGTCCTAAAGAGGGCAGTGTAACTACTTCTGAAAGGATTAAACACAAGAAACATGTTGCATGGAACAAACTCTTCTTGAACAGATACAATGGCCATGCATAGTTTTTCCTTTTAATCCTGTATCACTTTTCTTCGAGTTAACCTCATCAACAGTATTTATTGTTGAACTCCAGCAGATTCTTTCAGTAGCACATTCAAATCTAAGTGTTTTCCCTCGTTTGGCAGAGAAGCCGCTAACTCTTCAGTCATATCAGATTAGCAGCATTTTATCACAAAACAATAAGCACAGCAGAAGCAGTGGCCTGAACAATAACTAACACCCAATTTGTACTCCCATTATGTACCCACTCCTTATTTCATCTCCTCCTTCCCTTTCGTACCGGTAAACAAACTATTCCAGTCAACACTTGGACAATAGTTCACTTCTCTCAGAAGGTAAACATTCCTGATCAAATATGAAGATGGATTAGCTCATCATCCCTTTTCCTTAAATTTTAAAGCATCTTTTAAAAAGTTGGCATAATTCTAAATTTTCTGCAACTCTGGTAGTGATCTCTGGTGGTTGATTTTTGAGGAAAAAAGTTTATGACCTCTGATCAAATCAAATAACTGAGTAAAATTCTGCTGGTTACTCTCACAGAATCCTATTTTCTCACTATGTACAAATTGTTAATCACAAGTCACCAATGTGGGTACAAATTGTTACCTGGTCTGGACAAAACATCTTGCATAGTTAGGTGATGTATAAAACCCAATATATTTCAAAAGTATGAAATAGTAAAAAGGCCAGATGACCAGTAATCTTCAAACAATTCCACAAATAAAAATATTAAACATTTTTGAAGGCAGATGAACAACCCTGCAATATAAACAAGTTTTGTTTCATATTACTTGGGAGTCTATCAGGTGTGAAACTGCTGGTAGTGTAGAAAACAGGAGTGCAACAACGTCAAATCTTTGATCTTAGGTTGTTCAGAAAGTATTTCCTGAAGGAGGTTGCTGTTAATTATAATTAGAGATCCACCAGTTAGTCGGTCAGAAAAAGAAAATTGTCCCTTGACTGTCGCTCAAACCTGAACTTCTTTTACTAGTCATTAAATGCATCACCAATGAGCATTCACAAAATTTTAATCTGTAAGCAATCAACCAGTAGAAGGTACTTTGTACTTCCTACGAGGATATTAAATCACACATAGGTTAGGGACATGATTTGATATGTTAAAGAATTATCCTGCAATTCCTGAATTCACCTTCTTTGAAATGAACAAAACATCTCAATTGGAAGGTTAGACTTCAGAAAAAAAGTAAAAATTGCAATCTGACATGAAATGCTTGATTGATGCATCTCTAATTATATTATTGCTAGGAAGCCTTACCGTAAATTCAGATTCTGATACAAAACCACTCAACACAAGTATCACTGAAATGTATTACCTTGCCTGTTAATGCTAGCTTGTGTCATTTAAAATTAAATCACTGATCCGTTTTAACCTTTGGTCAAACTCCACCCTCCTTATCAGGGTTTGATCCTCAAAGTGGGTCGTGCGAGGGTTAAAATGCCAATCAGGGAAGATATCAGCCCACAAAATCCAACAACTCCTGCACTTGACTTGTAAATGCCCAGCCTATCCAAAGGAATGAAGAGATCGCAGATGTTTTTCACAGTGTCCAAGGCAACAGTCGGTTCTGATCTCAGAGTCTCCAGAAGCAGGAAAATAAGGGCATCCAGTTCAGGAATAACAGCTTCCGCTACTTCAGGACAGTCACTGAGATGCTGGTTCATTCTGCTTTTGAAGCGGTTATCTCTCCCTTTCTTTTGCATCAACTGGAGAATTACATACAGGTCTCGGGTCAGATTCATCACTAATGAGAAGAGGTAGTAGCGAGAGGCATTTATGCTCCAGCGTTCCTTGTTGATGCTCCGGATGAGGCCCACATTTTTGGCCCACACTGCATTATCACAGATAAAGTAGAGTGCCCGGTTGATGTTGGCCACTGTGAGGCACAGGCCCAGCAAGCGGTCAGAGAGCTGCATGGTTTGTTTAGCAGCCACAATGGAATTGGCTGCATTTCCTAGCCTGAGCACTGACAAAGGAGGCAGAAATGAAAGCAGGAATGAGTTCAAGAGAAACATGAAGTGAACATTCTGCTATAAGCAGTCCACAAGTATCCAACAGGTTACCAAACAGCTACACAAACTACATAAGTTTAGCATGTTAGCAACTCTGTAGTACAAAGGTCAAGGTTGACATTCATTTCTACTTTACAGCACTTTTGAAGCAAAGCTTTCCTGCTTTCAGAACCTCTTGGGGACCTTGTTCCAAATGAATGTTCCACCAAAATGTTTTGCTAAGAAATTATGAGAAAATAGTGTCTCTGAGTTAGTAAGTCAAGCTCCCAAAGCAGCAGAAAGTTGTGGTGGCAGCTAAGATGCAGAGGAGATAATTAAGCGGCACATCAATAGTGTACCCCTCTGAGCACCAGCTTTGGGCTTAGTAAGGCTCCACAAGAACAGAAACGGGAAATGCTATATCTTTAACGCCTGACCTCGCTTCCAGGCATTCCCAAGTAAAACCTGTCTCTTGTCTTTTTCACACATTAATGAGGGAACTGGGACATTATATATTAAAGCCTTAAAAATCTCAGTTCACGGCTTGCATTTTTTATAAGTATTTTACCAGGTTTTAAAATCCCTAAAGTCAAACAGCTCATATTAAGTACTTAAAATCCCAAAAAGCACAAAGGAAGAATGTTTGATTTTTCACAATGCTCATTAACTCATGATTATGAAAATGTCTTAAGTTTAACATTTCCAAATCAGTAAAACTTTGAGCAGAACAATAAATACTGTTTGTCATAAAGACATGAGTGACACATTAAAAAGGGGCACTATAAACAAGGAAAATTTGTTTTCATAAATTAAATTAATTAATAAAAGTTGAAAGTTGCCTAATGATAATTAAATACATTAAAATATTTTTAATCAATCAAATGTTTTATCGCTTTTTCACAATTATACTCACGTTTTCGTCCAGCACTCATATTATTTTCCAAACTTTTAAGTCTGGCCACCAGGTCTTTTCTATCAGGCTTGTTTCGTAGTAAATATATTGACAGTGCACAGGCATACTGGGTAGCTCTGAAAGCCAAAACACAGGGAAAGTTATCAAATTTATTACTTAAGCAATATCAGCAATTTGGCAGATTTATTATTATGTCTTTCAGAAATACGCCTTGCCAACTTCATAAATGAAAAGCGCACCTGAATACACGGTCTCTCCCTTGGCTTTGGTTTGCGAATTTCAGAACGGCGTCCATCATTATTAGCACATCAGGACAGGCTGTTCTGCTCAACAGCGAAGTTTCCTCCTCGTGCACCCGCTGTCAAGAGCTTCTTGTTGACGCCGGTACAGTTCTGTTCCTTTCTTGACTTTAGTGCATTATCAGCACTAGCTCCTCACATTTGTTGCCACTTTAAAAAGACCTAATACTTAGAAATGTAAAACTTTCACCGTGTGTCTTGTTCCGCTAAAGCTCAGCTGATTTACAACACCTGCGGAACTTTTCACTGTTGTTTCACCACAAGCCTTTACGGCAGCGGAATGAACGTCGAACAGATTTCCGGGACGGACCTTTTTTTTTTTTTTTTTTTTTTTTCCTCAGTTGTTTGAGTTGCTATGGCAACTTGTAACTACATAGTCATGAAAGTAGGCTACTATTATACATATAACGCACCCTGTTAACACTAAAAATATTTTTAAAACTCTGAGACTACCAAGGTCAATAAGATTTTTTATGATTTTACCATTTAAAGAGTTACTCTTTTTAAAAACAGCTAAATTGTTATTTTTTTCATTGCTTAGTTATTTTATGCCATGTTATTTATGCCACTCAATACTATACAACTCTTCACTGCCACCTTGCCATGCCCCACTCCACCTGTTGCTGTGGACTGACTGAAGGGAGACAATGTTTTATTAAATTACTAGTCAGTTTATTTGCATAGCAACATTCATACAAAATGCATTTTAAAGTGATTTAGATTAAAATCGAGAAATAACAATTAAATACTCACATTAACACATGACGCCGGTGTCAGTTAAGGGGTTTTAAATCAATGTTCCTTATCAGCTAACACAAAGGCAGAGAGGAAAAAACAGCAAACTGATGTCAACAGTATGAGAGAAAGAAGTCATTACTAAATTACTACTAACATCCACAAATGGCACATTTTGTAAATTATTTATACGGTGTGAGACAAGCAACGACAGGGACAAAATATTTAGTCAATAAACTAATTAGGTCTCCTGTTCATCACAGAGGAGTTGCTGAGAGGGCAATGCTAGGTAAGCTGAGCCACTCCCAGTTCTCCTAGTTTTCAGTCAATTTGTCACTTGATGTTTCAAAGTCTTTTTTCTTTTTCTTCTTTTTACAAGAAATATCTTTCACTGTTTGGTCTTTCTGAACTAGAAGTTACAATATCTGGATAGTGATGCAATAGCCATAGTAAAAGGAGGGTACAACTCCTTAAAGTTGAAGGGTTTATGCATCCAAACCAAATAAGGTATTAGAATAAAATAAAATACATCTAGCCTTTAGCAGATGATGACATAAGTGGTCTTCCTATGTCATTTTTAGAGAAAAGAAGCTTTTTCCGAGCAAAATTTTGATTGAGTTAATTGAATATCCCCTACTGTAAAATGTATTTTTCTTATGAATAATCTTCCTGAGTGTTTAATAATGAATCCCACGTGTTTTTTTTTTTGTTGTTTTTTTTGTTTTGTTTTTTTTGGAAATGTCCCCATAAAACTTCACAGACTGCAAGTAAAAATCCCTTCTTATACCAATTTCTGCACAGTTCCCTTGTTTGTCATTCCCATTCAGCTATTGAAATAGGCTGTTAAGCCTTTGCTTTTGGTCATCTTGTTTGAATAGTTTAGCAAATAAAAGGTCAGCTCCATTGAGTATTCACCGAGTACGTAAAAGACTGGCTTCGTTAAGGAATGCAGTTAACCTTGACATTATTGCTCTCAGTAACACAAATATAATGCATTATGGGAGGGGGTCAGTGTCATTAAGCAACAAAACACCCCATTCAAACCTGTTTGAAATCAGTTGCTTTAGCAGTTATCTGGTAGATTGGCTTCTTTAATTTGTCTCTTATTTCACCACAGGGAGTTCAGAGGAAATGCGATTTGGACTGTGAGGGTAATAGATCAGTTTTTTATGATAAATAGGAACCAATGTGTGGAAATAGTTTGTATTTTTCAGCTGTACATATTTGTCTGATTTGTTAAACATGAACTGTGTGAATGGCAGTGTATATGTACCATTTCACTAAGGACACCTAGTCATGATTACTCTCAGACTTGTAGAATTAAGAAATCACTTAAATAGAGCTTGTCTGACACCAAGAATAGACTAAAAGAAACCAATTACCACCAGTGTATGTATTTTTGTCAGAAACTGAGAAGTTTTCATTTCAACACCAGTTTTATGAAAATGTTCTACTCCTATTTTATTAAGTCAAAATTAACATTTCCTTTAATTTCTTGGTTTGAGTTGATGATGTTGTCCCTGAAAAATTTTAAGGACATGCCGACAAAGGACAGGGATAAGTCTGGTAGAGTCACAGAAATCCCAGAATAATATCAGATCACCGCATACGTCTCTTGTCTCAGATAATTTGCTTGTTTTTCCACAGCCCGCATATTTCTAAACTTGTTGCACAATAATCTAGAAAACGTATTTAATTACTTTCAAATCTTCATATCAACAATCACTCCATCCTAGACATGTCGATTCTATTTAACTAAAACTCCAACCGATCCTTTATTTACAGAGCAGTGGGAAATGCCTTTAATCATCTGTTGCCACACACAACCTTGTATGCAGCCAAAACAACAAAACACTCACTCCCAACAAACGCCCTGGGGTGAACGACAGGCACAAATTAAAGAAACCAATTTATCCTCAAATTATTTACTAGAGGGCTGATTTTACCAGTAAACCTTTACTTTACAATGCTTTCTCCTCACTTACCTCAGTGTTCAGCGTCAGTGTTCATAATTTAGCAGTAAGAAAGAGACTGACCAAAACCACTGCTGACCAAAAGTAGCTTGTCATTTGAAAGAATAAAAAGAAAAAAAAAAAATCTTCATAATTATCAAGGCTTTCGTGGAGATATTCTGTGTTCTCATGAGAAATATTTGAAGGTGTGTGACCTATTATTTCTGTCATAAAACTAACAGTATTTCAGAAAAAGAACATCACGTGTACAATCACTCAGTAGTAGTGGGATGGCCTGGGGTTGCTCTGCTGATACAAGATGAGCACAACGTGCTGTAGCTACTCTCCATTAACAAATACTCAAGGGTATGTCTCACCATCAGTTTGTGACCCTCTGTTTAAGTGCACTCAGGATATGCAGAAGGACTTTGATCCACGCCACTCGCCACATACGCAAATCCAAATCTGAATGGCTCAAACAAAGCCAAATAAAAGATGCTTTAGCGAGCCTAGTCAGCGTATGAACTTGAAATGTATTATGATGCTGCATCAATTTCACTTGAACAGTTTGTATAACAGAACAAAATATAATAAAAAAAATCAAGTCACCATCAAGTCTGAAATTAGATAAAGAAATTAGCTAATTGCAACTTATTGTAAGACTTTAAAAAATCCAACAGAATGTGAAATGAAGTACCCCTATTATGCTTTTATTACAATTAAGAGGATAAGTGGCAACCTGGTGTTGCAATCAAATACAATGGTCTTTAGAAATGCAATGCTCTGTCAGAGAAAGCAAATGTTTTGGCTGCTTCTCGGTCTGCAGCTCTTGGTTTTATATCAACACAATCCCAGGAACACAAATCTCCAGCAGTCACCTTCGAGAGGCTTTTCTTGTTAATCTGTGTAGAGCACAGGATCACTTTGAAACTATTTTAAATCCACAAAGATTTTTCTCAACTGGAAAAAAAAAAGAAAAAAAAAACTGTTAACATGCTCCCTGTGGTGAGGATATTTCAGCAAGTTCTCTTGAAGGTCAGACAAGTGTAATACTGTAAGATATTTCTGTTATATCCTAAATGTTATATTGCATAAATTGCAATTCCTACAGGTCTCTGTTTGAGCAGAAAACATCAATGTTTCTGAAAGGACAATCCAAAAAAAATAAAAAATAAAGACAAGGTCTGCAATCTTTTCTTTGTTTGCAAATGTATTTGTTCCTGCCACCTGTTTTGTTTCTTCACAGGATTCACAAAGCGGATTGCCTTGAATACAAGTCGAGCAGATTCCTGCAATTTGCAACAGTTTTTTTTCTTCAAGTCATACTTGTTTTTAGTTCAATCTGGAAAGACTCAGACGGAGAACAAGGAACAATTAAAAGATTTAATGACAGCAATGAATAACAGTTCTTTGGCGCTCGGGCCCCGGCAGCCGATTTGGGCTGAGATTTGATGTGAACTCGATGAACATCCCGATAACTAATTAGGGATGCTCTCCCCCGGGGCCCGACACTGGTGGTGGTGGTCAGGAAGGGTTCCATCCTGGAGAACCTAAGGATGAGGGTGGAGATGGGGAGGTGGTGGGTTGAACGCAGCTGGGAAGCGTCTGACGGTTTGGGTATGGATCCTTTTATGCAGACCCTGATTGCTGATTGAACGAGCAGGGTGAGGTCCAGGCTGAGGACGGGGATGAGCATGACGTCGATGGGTGAACGGAGGGGGCGGAGTCTTCCAGCTTGAACTTCAGCTAAAGCTCCATATCATTCATTTGATGAAAAAACAAACTAACTTTTTGACTAGAATATAAGGCAGAGGAGAGGGTGAGTTGTACTTTCTGTGACATCCTTCACCCGATCGTTGTACGGTCAATAGCACAGAGGTTCAACTTATTCCCTGCTTATTCCTCTGCTTCAACAATACCAGCAGTTTTCAGTTGTGTTTTTAAGTGTGATCTTTGAAACGCCAATAGGTCCAGGCTTAAAAATGCCAAGAATTGTGCACTGGCTGTATAATTTGCATAAATGTGAACAGGCTTTTCCATAAATGCATTATCTCATTTAAAAATTCCATTTGATCAATGAATCTGTTTTAAAAGCAAATATGTTTTTTTTTTCTTCTCTCATTTCAGAATCAGGTGCATGTGCTAATTCAGATTTGCACAAATTTAGCAAATTTGTGAAAAATGTATGTCCCTTATTCATGCTAACCCTGGAGTGTTTGAAAAGAGAGACAAAAAGACAGCAGATCAACTCATGTTGGCAAAGATTCCTGTGAGCCAACATTATTATTTCAAGAAACACTTTCTTTAGCCAAAGATCAAAGTGTGACAATAAGCACATAGGCTAAATCAACAAAAATCTTTTGTCAGTTATGGTAGCTGTGAATATGATCCGGGCAGCTTGAAGTTAATGTGCCAACTCCAGAGTGAAACCTGAAGGCATCTATTTGACAGCTGAAGCTTGAACACAGGCTTAAATTACATGACGAGTTCCCTATCATTACACTTTTGTAAAATCGTTATAATTGAAAAAAAAAATAAAATAAAAACTCAAGATAATTACTAGCCGTCACTCTACGATCGTTTCCCCACCTCCAACTAATGGTCTTCCTGTCACTCTCTAGCCAGATGGAGAAGTGG